TGCACGTACCGGTTTGTGGTGTAACGACGTAATTTGACATATGGCTGTCACAATGCATAAAGGTTTGTGTAGGGGACTTCTGCACATGTTAGATACAAGCCTCGGTCTGTTTGTCAAAGTGCCATACAGATGTGGCAAACCTACTTTCTGTTGCTTCGAGTATAACTATTGTCTAGCTCTATCAGGGAAACAACAAACCAACCGAATCCCAGAACAAAGATACACAGCACAATAACACTAAAACATAGTCCATGGTCCCAGAGTTTATAGTAAAAAATAGTTACCTAATCAGAACACATACCAAAGGGAAATAACTCTCCACAAAAGATTAATTCACTGGTACCAGTCTACCTTTTTTATACATTTTTTATAATGTACCCACAAAATAATGTCATTTGTATATATAATATAGAACATTATAGACATATCTGCTACACATGTGTTGGATATGTATCTGCATCAAGGCTGTCCATGACATGAAAAACCTTAAAATCCTACGTTTTTGATAATGTTCTTATATCTCAGGTTCCTTGATCCCTACAAGGGAAACTGGACCAAACAACCTTGAAAAACAAACACTTTATCAAACTGTTTTTTACTCCATCCATCCACAACAAGAACATATTCTATCCAAACCTGTGCTAGTCTTTATCATTAAGAGTCGAAATCACACTATCTATAATCCCCACTTCAGTCATATTGATCCACAAATCACCAGACGAAACACTTTGGATATCTACAGTTAAAATCCTAACGAGCGAATAAACTGACATTGAAAACCATTACGTCCCAAATTAACTTTTCACATATTTTTGTATCCATGGTATTTTCCAGCATCAGTAGGTGTGAAAAGAGCTCCACGTATTTCATGTTGCTCTCACTATCACCTGAAGAAATTGTGCAATTGTATTAGACCAGCAAAAGAATATCTAGGAAAATTCTTTTGAAACAACATTACAATGCGTAAGTGTTCTAGAGAAAAAAATACTTTTGTTTTATCATGAAAAATTAATTTGTGTCACAGATATCAGATAAATCTGAAATGATTCAGCTGTACATATTTGGATAAAATCCTCAACCAACAGCAGATTTGTTAATACAATCCTTGTACACAATTAAATTAACATCTTCCAGTAACTGGAATTCCACAAAACTCACAAATCTTGAAACAATTCCAATCAAAGCTAGCGGATACATAGCAGCAGACTTTTGACACCTGTAAACTCTCCAGTGATTGAGATGTTAAAGACAAACCTAATTAGTAATCTTAAAGAAATCCATTAGTTGTCAATTTAGTTTCTAAATTCCTCGACTTACAACACCTTATCACTGTACCCAAATAAATGGCAAAAATAATCGGTCTAAAATCAACAGACTTGGGACTATTGAATTACACAATCATTACATCTATTGATATTGATCATATAACCAAGTTCTGTTGACAGTTTGAACAATCTTCTAGTCTCAATTGTTGCCATTTCAAAAATAGAACACAAGAAATTGGGCTGAATTCTACAACAAACATTTGAGAGAACATAAAAATTTAAACAAATACATGTATATATACTGTACCAAATCCTCTACCAACAGTGCTTCACAATAATAATATACAACATTTGATATAGCGCCCTATCTAGCTAACATAAGCCACTCTTAAGCGCTTTAACAATAGCTATCCTGAAAGAATATTTCTGCTTAAATTCAAACTTTATCAAAATCACTTTGACCAAACTAACATCCAAAATCCAGGTAGATTATCCGAATTCACATCCACAATCCAACTGAACATCCGAGATACTCTGCCCTTCCTGAAATATGTTGAGTCAAAATTTCCATCAAAACTCACGGTCACATTTACAGAAATGCTTTCCCCAGGTCTTGTGTAGTCCTGTTATTGCATCGGAATGTAGGTAAGCAGTTTATAGTCCCTGGTTACAATTGAAAATCAGTTATCTGTCGATCAACCCCCGATTGTGTTTTGTTGAACATCCTAACAATGACCCTCGTTATACAAGACTTAGGTACTCAGAAAATAATCAGCCCCTGTAATGGACAGAATGTAACAAAGACATTTAAAGTCTGTTCAACTCAGAACCAGACTCCTCTAAACAAAAATAGGAGTCATCGTCACAGGAGATTGTACCTTCCATAAATCTGCGGGAATATCAGGCCATTTATCTGTGAAGTGGTATCTAAATGAGGGTGCCATTTCGTAATTGGGGGTGATTTGTAAACAAATGATGGGGGGTTTAATAATGTTATGTATGTAGGCATTATCTTATATACTCTCTTAACACTGAGGGAAACCAGGCAGTTTTACACTACAGAGCAGGGACTACGCTGATTTAGTGTAGAGAGAAAAATACAGAGATGTCAATCTAAACAATTCTTATCTCCCCTTTTCTAATGGTGACCTCAATCTTAAATATTTTTCTCATGAGTTATCTCCCCTTGATTGAAGTGGAAGCAAAGTTGTCTACAAACTTTTACAGCTCATCTGCCTGCAATTACCTTTTTAATGTAAACACGAAATATGAACGATCGAAAGATTATCTCCCCTTACACAAATAATATCTTGCCACCAAATTTTAGAAATACAACTGATGTATGTTAATGTGTACTTAAATAATTTTGGCCGTTTGCCAATGCTAACATGACATTACTAACTATCTATTTCATCTCTAATCTGATTGGTCAATTTAATCTTTTGATAGGAAATCTTGAAAAGTAACCTTACTGGCATAAAACGATTCTGTTTAGCCCCTACTCAAGGAGGAAAATTCCATTGACAGTGATTCAACTGTTTACCGTGTCGCTGACTTATAATCATTGCATACACTAGATTTACCTATGTTTCATAGTTTAAATAAAAACATGAAATTTGCCATATCAGTGTTTTGTTTAAAAGACTGTTTGCCTGCTTCAATTTGGAAGTGGCTATTTTTTTTGGCAGATATATTAGTCAACATTACATCATGTGGACCTTCAACTGGCTGTACACTCACATCAACCACCGATCTTAAACCTCAGTGAGGACACCGATGGTGTTAAAAACAAAACTACCGAAATTAAAATAAAAACCAACCAAACTGCACAAGACAAATAATATATCTTAAATCTCGTTAAATGTATAAGCTTGCTTTACTCTGTATTCAGGATTATCGTCAGTGAAAGCTGAACAAGCAATAATTAAGACTTTGTAGATTTCACAGATTTCAAATCAGAATGGAAAATCTTTGTAACAGTTGCTATAGAATGCTACATATACCAACTTGCTCCACAGAATTGACTACTAAGTGTTACTATGGAAATTAGAAATCACCATGACAACAAGATCTTACAACCGATACACTGTCATAATAATAAAACAATTTTCCCGCAATAAAACATGTTTTGAATATCAAACAAATATTCACAAAATCCACATGGCCCAACATTTTGAAATTTTCATTCGTGCATGAAAGGCTTCAGTTTCAAGACAAAGCTATTTTAAGTTCCTGAATTATCAAATTTATATTTCCAATAAAACTATCGGTGCAGTCTTGACTGTCGATGCAGATGGGGCATGATGTGAATGGCTTTATCTGTTATATAACTTAAACACACTGCAGCATCTCAAAACACACACACGCCCAGACACTGCACGCTAACGTTACACAATTATCAGCTATTACCGCTCCGAGAGGAAACGCTTTGTTTGAAGTGCAAGTAAATCTTAAGAAAATTTCATAATAGAATTTCTGCAGATTATATATACAATAAAGGTCTGGCTTCCAAGCTATCTTCATTGCACTGATGAAAGGCGATTGATAGCATTCCCTTAGTACAGAGAGGTCAGAGGAACCACGACCACTGAATACAATAGAACCTTGCCTATCAAACAGTAAAATATGCTCTAAAGAGCACCTCTATTATGAGATTACCTGTGTAAATAGACCACCTGTGTAAAGAGACCATCATATTGTCCCAATTTACTGTGATTTCCTTGTGAATTGAATCTCTATTAAAAGACCACTTTTAACCCTTTCACCACTGTAGACCATAATGGACTCATCCATATCAATGCATGGTAGAGTCTACTAACGTTACATAGGGGTTAAAGGGTTAAACTCTCTATAACAGTTTTTTTCAAGATAAATGAACCTATGTAGAAAGGCCACTCTTTTGACTTCCTAAAGGTGGTCCCTGATACAGGTTGGCTATATTTGAATACATGGAGTCCTGTGTTTTGTAATTTGTTTTAGTGTCTCAGGTATGATGTAGATTTTTGCAGATGAATTTTTTTTGTTGTGGTGTCAAGTTTTGAGAATGGGCTGTCAGTGTAATAACTGTGTACAGTGGTCAGATGGGCTGTCAGTATAATAACTGTTTACAGTGGTCAGATGGGCTGTCAGTGCAATAACTGTGTACAGTGGTCATATGGGCTGTCAGTATAATAACTGTGGACAGTGGTCAGATGGGCTGTCTGTATAATAACTGTGTACAGTGGTCAGATGGTCTGTCAGTATAATAACTGTTTACAGTGGTCAGATGGGCTGTCAGTGCAATAACTGTGTACAGTGGTCAGATGGGCTGTCAGTGTAATAACTGTGTACAGTGGCCAGATGGGCTATCAGTATAATAACTGTGTACAGTGGTCAGATGGGCTGTCAGTGTAATAACTGTTTACAGTGGTCAGATGGGCTGTCAATATAATAACTGTGTACATTTGTGTCATGTATTACAAATGATCGGCTACTACTGATAATAATGATTTAGGCCAAAAAAAACCTGATCTGTTCCCTATTGCATTCTCCAAAAGTTGCAAATTAAATGTAGGCAAAATAATTTAAATTTTGAAAATTATTACAAAGAATATAATATATAGAACTTATACTCTTACCCAAAATACCAAGAATTTGCCTAGGTTAATTGGTGGCGGCACAAAAAAAGTAAAACATAATGTAATAGGTCACATGTCAATATGTTTCACTGGCCTTAATTGGTGAAAATCGACTTACCTGTCATCTCCTTCAAGTGAAGATTCACCGGAGGGTGTCATGACCTCTGGTGGTGGTGCCGGAAGGTCAAGGTCTTGAATGGCCGCCAAGTCCTCTGGATTTTTGATAGGCGTAGGAGGCGGTGGCAATTCTGGACTACATAGTTGCATTGGTGGAGAGTAATTTTGACTAGAAGCTGTTTGGGGGAGATTGGCATTGTCTTTTGAAGGGGTCACATGTAGGGCCAAGGACACCGGGGTCGATATGTGGGACACTGATGACCTTGGTGACGACTGTAGCACAGGACTTGCATGACTATTTGTCATTGTTTGATTGGCTGATGGAGCCTGTGATGTAAGTATATGATTAGTGGTTGTGGCATAAGACATTTGATGTGGTGGCATGCCACCTGTTGACGACACTATTGATGACATTGTTGTCGGGAGAGTGGCTTCCTGCGGCTCCAATGACGACCGTTTTTGTGACTGTGAACAGTGTGTTACGGGTCGCGAGGAAACAACACTCATTGATGTTGGTTTTAAGTTCTGTTCAGAATATCTCCGGTACTGTATCCGGAGTTGCTGAGCATACATGTCCGGAGAACTTTCCCTGGGTTTCCGCACCTGTGTCTCTGGAGCACCACGCTGCAGTGGTTCCAAGTACCCACCAGTTCGTGACCCATGACTATTGGTGTCCAGCTGACTTGTAGAGGCGTTGCGGTAGTTCCTTGGGGGCAGGGCAGGGGGTTTGTCATCCTCCACTGGGGGTGGGGGTGGAGGACGCCTGTACCCAGTATTTGCATAATCCAGACTGCTACCGGACAGGGACCCTCCAGAGCTGCAAGTACACAAGAGAATCACAGGTAAACAAAAGGTTTTATATACAAATCACAATTATATTGATAAAAAAGTTATTTTCATCAACACAAAGCATTGTAAAAATGTTGTTTTTTAATAACCAAATACAGCTTTAGCCCTTTCACCACTCAGACCATAATGGACTCATCCATATCAATGCATGGTAGAGTTTACTAAGGTTACATAGGGGTTTAAGGGTTAGAAATGACAACAAACCAACATTAATTATAAGATATTCTAGCTTTTTCTATGGACAGCATTGTCAAACTTTTTTGGCAAAGTAGCAATGATACATCAAATGTCAAGGACCTAGTCTCTGTTTCTAAGAGGTTGGCGCAGAGGCCTAGAAGTCACAGCAGCCTTCACACATCTTTGTAAAGAAGACAGCAAGAGTTACCTCCCTTATATCATTAGACTCTAAATTCACTACCAGAGGCATAACCTGTAAAATCTCAAGTGTGACTGTTCCATTTAAGCCAATCCATCACACACATAATTCACTACATAGAACAAATTCTTCAGGAGAATCAGTCATGCTTTCTATTATTTTAATCAGAAAGTAAAAATCTAATTTCCTTCCAAAAAATAAATCTATGACTACAGTTTCCTCAGATAACACTGTGGGATTAGGTTTCGGTAATCTTATACCCTGGAGACAGCGGTTGTAATAGGAAGAAGACTGACACATTATTCTTCCGTAAATGTAAATTCCGGAAGAGTTTTTTTTATTCTGTCTCAATCACATCAGTCAAAATATTTGATAGAGATCCTGACATGGTCGCTCGACTCCCCTTAATCACCAATTTGTTACACCTCCGGCAATCGGAACGAGAAACACAATTTGGCGACAATTTCACGTGGATTGTCCTTTAATGACTTGGCATGAGTCAGTGTTTTGTGAGACGACTGACACTGTTGCTCATTTTGGAGGGAGATTTCGTCCTGATGAGGTTATAGGATTTCACACTCTGTAACTTATTAGAAGTGGCTGATGACTGCGCAAGAGACAATATTGGAGAAACTTGAGTCATACTTATTCCTTTTATCAATATCGGACACATCATGCCAATCAACTATCTTAAGCACTTTCATCTAGAACAAATATTTGTTAACATTTTCCTAGTTCAGAATCGTGTAATTGTAAATATTGCATAGCAAAAAAACACCACAAAAATCATGAAATTTTAATCAGTTAGGCTTTTAATTTTTCCAATCAAGTTAATATTCCAAATATGTGCCAAAAAATCTCAAAAGAAAGTAGAGCTACAAATATATGGTCAAACACTTCTGTTTTCAACAAAATGTATTGATCAGGTGAAATTAAATTTTCTATGGAACAATTAAGGACCTATAAATCTACTGCTCATAAAGATGTTTGATTAATCAATAATTAGGGCAATGATGATCCAAACTGCGGAAATCCGTCCCAAGAGTCCAATATATGTATTACCGTATTAGTATTCCAATCATACTGTTGACCAAAGCCAGGCAAAATTAATCCAGACAATATCACACAAAGATGTTTATAATAAAGATGTATAAAAGTTAGGGATATTTACAATAAACATATCCCACATATAAACAATGTGGCTCACTGGCGTAAATCTAAATCTGTAGATCTCAACAATAACACTGTAATAATAAAACACATGCTTTATGTATCAAATAAAACACGGAAATCTCCAAACAGCAAATGTCTAAAAATACAATCCTACCTAAGCTTGATGATGTCATTATCCAGTTACTGAGAGAGACGTACATACGCAGGTAAGTTACACAAGACTGGTCATTTTACAGGCAAACAGAAAGTAGAGAAATCAAACAGTCACTTTTATGTTGTTCAGTGACAATAGTGACAGCTGATGACATCAGTGGTTACTTATAAGTGTCTGATGATAGACATGTAGCTACGTCATACAGTCCCGTAAAAACCATGCTTACTCCAACACACCTGAGATTGTTCACAGTTGTCTAGCAGTTCAGCATGAGCTCATCCTCGGTAGAAAAGATCTTTTGTTTTTGTTTATAAATATCTTTGCAATTTTAAAGATACAAATATTTCGCAAAATGATGTCATACAAATGAATGCAATTTAATGACTTTCTAATTAAATTCACAAGGTACTTGCATTCCATCCAGCTAATGGTATGATATTCTGACCACCGGAAATGAATTTTTGAATAATTAATGAAATTCATTTCTCGAGGAGTCAATAGAACATTCATGTGTATATATATAGTGACAGTTTGTCACGCAATGTATTCCACAATGAAACGTCAAGAATTTCGGTCTAACGAACGATTCATCTGTCTTACTAATGCCTATTATCAATCAAGCCTCATTTACAATATATAATACTTTACAATGTTGACAAGTTTGATTAAACAATCAGTGAATTCCAAAGGTGTTACAACAAGCAAGTATAGCATTCCCAGGCAGGTATTGAAATAGCCGACTTTAGACTGATATATCCTTTAAGTCAACAGGATAAGGTGGTATTCAGCTAGTGTTTTATAAACATAACTTACCATATGTTCAGAACCATGGAGAAAAAAATATAGGAGAAATTTGACCCACTTGGTCATTAAAAGCCAACTGAAGTATGTATTCGCCAGAAGAAATTAGGTCAGTCTCGAAGGTATACTAAACATACTTGTCCTACAACCACAAAGTGCTTGTAAGTTTACTACTTCTAACGATATAAATCAACAAATAGGTACTATTCGTACCTGGTACGTCTTACCTGTCTGAGAATGACACACAGTCCAGTGTTGGTGAGATATATATTATAACCTCAGAACTGCAAAGTTCCTATTTTAAGAAGCAACAATCAATTAGATAATTACTCCAAAATTACCTCTAGCAATAAATCTGTTATTTTAGAAACTTTCCAGCGAAAGATCTCAAAGCCATTTTTCTGTGTTGGAACTGTACCAATTATTTACCTTTCTACGGCTGTAAAACACACTACGTTAAGTTACCATCATACCTCCAGAGAGGAAAACGAAATCCTACCATTTCAAGACCACCAGCCAAAACCATAAAAACAGTGAAAACTTGGCATTGATTTCGATGGTCTATGTCACTAAGGAACCAACACCTATAAATTCATATCGCCCTATGACTGTGATATTCCCAGGTTGAAATCGAAAACGACTTTCTCTCATCACACGCAAATATACTTGGATGAAGTTGGAATAGTTTTGGTTGTTTCCATCTGGTTTCGATTCTCTACTTCTAAAGATATAAATCAACAAATAGGTACTATTCGTACCTGGTACGTCTTACCTGTCTGAGAATGACACACAGTCCAGTGCAGGTGAGATATATTTATAACCTCAGAACTGCGAAGTTCCTATTTTAAGAAGCAACAATCATACAGATAATTACTCCAAAATTACCTCTAGCAATAAATCTGTTCTTTTAGAAACTTTCCAGCAAAAGATCTCAAAGCCATCTTCCTGTGTTGGAACTGTACCAATTATTTACCTTTCTACGTCTGTAAAACACACTACGTTAAGTTACCATCATACCTCCAGAGAGGAAAACGAAATCCTACCATTTCAAGACCACCAGCCAAAGCCCATAAATCCATGGACAAGCTGGCATTTATATCTATTTATTGTTTTCCCTGTTAGTAACAAAAAGCAATTTTTATAACGTTAACCTCAACTTCAGTGAAATGAAAGTTTCTTAAAATTTTATTATTAATGAAAATAAGAAAAAGATTTGGTTTTTAAATATTTAACAATATGCCACTGAAGTCTGTCTTAACTATATTCTAGGGAAATTTAGCTTTGGATTCACTATACAAAATATTATAAATAATGTTATTTATATCGTAAATGCCTGTTTGGGGAAGTCCATTCTGAAATAATTTCTATATTTTATGCTGAATACTTGAGCATGAATAGAATTATAGAAAATGTAGTAAAAAAATCTATGGGCATGAATAGAATTATAGAATATTTAGAAACAAAATCCACTTTTATCAGATTTCTGCTAAATTGTGTACTCTGAGTTTCAGTACTGAGTACACAAAATTAGCATTCCAGATTACCACCTTCCCCTCTGTTACATCACAATTAATTCAAAAGCGTTGTCAGGACTTTGAGGGATCATATACAACCCACAGGAAACGGCAATAGACAGAAAATCTTCAACACTCAGCCCAGGCTTATCAACTAAAGTAAATCTTTGTTCTATTACGACAACAAGATCGTGTTTCCCTCAATGTATTTCCGATGACCTACATCTCCACCGTGAGAGACCAAGTCCTATAGTCAATCAGTGATCCCACACATCATATAAATAATAAACGTATCTCAGGAAACAGGGTCCTTATAACATTTCTGAAGTATTAAGCAGTACCAACATGTACCACGAAACAATACAATGCAACAGACCTTAGGAACCATCCATCATGTACTGTTTGTCCATTGTCTGCTAAATGTCTGAATCACTTACTTGGAATAGGAAACATGCAATGTGTCACCAACAAATTCTTCCTGTTTGACTTCGCTTCATATTAATTATAAATAACATCGCCACTGTACAATGAGTAGCTGACTTCCTTGAATAAATATTATTGTACAGTCAATCAGCTTAAATTCTCACCAATCAAACTTAAATCTATAAACATCAACAGATCACGAACTGAAATAATTAAGATATTGTCTTCAAGATATTGGCTGCATGGTCACAACAACTTTTTAATCTTTACGAAAAAATCATATCTGCCCAAATGACCTCCATGGTTCCACCCTTTTCTAGGTTTTCAGAATCCTTTGAGACAAAAATGTTGTTATAACACATAAAAGGACTTCTTTGTAATAATAGCTTATATGTACAAAGTAAACGTATTTGTTTACAACGTACAGTAATGCTGAGCACGGAGTAGCCCTTTAGCGATGTTAAACAAATAACAATGGACACAGTGTTGCTCCTTGGTCCACACCCATGTGAAATATTAAAATCAAT